TCTGCCCCAGTTTACATGAATGTACAAGGCCTTTTTCAGGAATTAACATGATGTTTTCTACCTAAACTACAAAGAACACTAGACAGAAAGTGCTCGTAAGCTGGCTTACATGGAAAAGCCAAACAGGCAAGGCTAATATTTAGATTAACATTTGTACCGATTATATCAACATAATCAATGCATTCTATAGAAAGTGAAATGGAGATGTATAACCGTCTTGCCTAAACATTTACATTTTCAAGCGAATCACACATTGCACCACATGAATTGTACTCTCCATGCACATACATGTAACAGTGTACAGACAAGTTGGTTAATACGTTTACCAAACATAGTAAAGCAATAGACTCAGTCTGCAATAAATGGAGTGAAGATACAAATTCGTTCCAATTGAAACACGTAGTAGTAGTACCGTATAAATGGCAACAGAATTCCCAACTTTCTCAGAAAGCTTGTTTAACTAACAATATTGAAACTTAAGACAAAATTAGCAACATCAATACCTAAACAAAGGACAGAGGCAGTTCTGCTTTTAACCTATTGAAACAATCATACTTCCGACGTCAATAAAAGTGAAACCTCAATAGCACACCAGCTGTATGGTATAATGTCACAAGCAAACTGATGGAGACATTCAAATTATCCATGTTTTAATCTAACAAATCTGTCACCCAACTGCTAATCCTAATTACCAAAACTCCAAAAGAACTAAACTTTCAACTCTAATTGACATTATTTGAAAAAAAGCTCATTTCTTTTAATCAAACATATAAGAAAAATACCACAAGAACGCCCAAAATTTCCGATTCTTTTCTTGTTCCATCCTTCCACATTAACAACATTTCCAATAGAAAGAACCAATTTTTGACACTGAATTCTCGATTTTATCCTTATCTGCCATCCAATTTTGGCAACAAGAGCAGAGAAAGAGAAAGAGGAACCTGGATGCTAAAATCGCCGCCGAGGGAGACATTGTGGGATTCCTCGGAGAGGAAATCACCAGCGGCGGCGGTGCCTTCGAGCATCATCTGGCGCTCCTTGGTATCGAGATCGGAGGCCAAAGCCGCTAAATCGAATTCGGAGAAGAAAGGCCCTTGCAAGACAGTGTTGACACAATGGACAGCGCATAGCTTCGATTCTTGTACCTCGTGGTACAACATCCCGCCATTGCTCGCTCCTTCCATCGCCCCCAATCCAGTTAATTTTTTTTTCCTTTTATTTATCAAAACCTAAAAGCTTTTTCCAGCTTCAATGGGAGGAAGAAGACACTGATGATGACGAAAGAAAGAAGAAAAACACATTAAAAAATAAATAAAACATGTTCCCTTCCTTTAATTGATCTGGGTGGGGATTTGCGTTGCCTTGCCCTGCCTTGCCTTGGCTTGGGCTGGACGTTTTGGGGGAAAACTCAGCACGTGCAGAGGAACTGTATTGCCACGTTGTTTTCCCCTTCTGGGTTTCCCTTTTTGTCGTTTTGGGGAAATATGAAAGTTAAATTGGCAAACTTCCAATTCCACCTTTAGACTTCATTTATTCAAGGTCGAAACAATTGGTATGTACGTCCTATATTGTTAAATATTAACACCATATGATTAATTCAATATATTAATAATTTAAATAGATATATTTATGAATATATTTATAAAATATATTATATGACATGATATGATTAATACATTTATTAATTTTAATTTGTAGTAAATGAATTCATAAACATGTTAATTGAAGTGATATCAAATAATAAAATCCACGTTTGGGAATAAAGTAAATCATAGACAAGTAACTCAAGCATTAAGAATAGATCCAAATGTTCTAGTCGACTTTTAAAAGGTCAGAGTTTAACTTGCTACGATGAATCTTGCTTCAGCATTTCTTCTACAGTGATACTGTGGTCGATAATCAATTTTATGAAATGTGGTAGAGTAGTTGGCATGTTACTGTTTCAGTTAAGAAATTGCAAAGTTCAATCAAATCTTCCTCCTGTAAGAGTTTTTTAGGAGGATCAAGGTTGCTAAAATTTGGTAAAATTGATATCAACTTCGGAAATCAAGAGCAGGAGTCAGAGTGGATCCAAAACAAGGAGACAAGACACTGAAATTAACCACTAAAATGAAGAAAACTCTTAAATTGATTAGCCCCTAAAAAAGAGAGTGCAATGGTACTTCTTCCATCAATAAAGATACAAAAATGGTGTTGACAACTCCCTCTGTTTCTGGGAAGATTCAGTGCTTTAATCCATCCATTCTTTCATAGCAGATAGCACTCTCAGACAAGCAGGTCGTAATGGTTTCTACCACTGTATAGGAGCCTCACGACTTTCCTGGGCTTTGCTTTTCTGGAGCCCTTGCGGAACTCAGCTCCATATTCTGCAATGGGAATAAAACCTGAGCCCCATCCACCCTTCCTATGCTGCAATATGGTTGGAAACACAGTAACAAAAAATCAATAAATTAATGCAAGTCATCAAACCGAGAGGATAAAAGGTCAACTGCACGCACACACAAGCATGTAGAGGCAGTCAGGCAGTTACATGCACATGTATAATGATCAACTTGGTTCGCGCAGCAATTCAGTTTCTTTTCAAGAGGCATGAAGCACACCGAAATTTATAAAGCCTGTGGAACAATAAGCAATTAGAAACTATGGCATTCTTTGTGTCTTTCATCAATGAAACTTGAAATGGAGGTCTGGCATCTGAGGTAATGCTAGCTAAATGTGAAGGTCCATTCCATTCCTACTGCCCTACTTGAGTAAACAAGAAAACAAAATAGGATAAAAGAATCATTTAAAAGGGGGAAGGGAGGGGAGCAAACATGCCTCATGCTCGGGTATATAGACAATAATCGGCTGACCGCACAATCTTGAAAGCACCTGGGATAGAGTTAATGGCCATTAATCAGCATCTGTTGTTTCACCAAACAAGTGACTGTAGACAATTGCAAACATATCCAGAAAGAAACAAAAAGGACACAGGAAGTTCTTGCAAACACAGTAATAACTCATCTTCTTCGGAACTTGGGTAAATGTGACCATACAAGTAAAGGTTTTGACACAAATGAGGTAAAGAACTTAGTTGCTAATGCAATCCCAACAAGCACATACATTAGCAATGAAGATTATGTTAAAGAGAAAGAGTGTGATAAATATACATCAAAAGAACACTTACCAGGAGCTCTGACTCTCCTCCCCAAAAATCAGGTCGTTGAATGCGTTGGCAGTAACTGCAGATGTTGATAGATTCTCATCACAAGGATTGCTAAGGAATAAATCAGAAAATAAGAACTAAAAGAGCTTCCACGAGTCAGCAGTAAGATTAGAGTCTAACCGTTTCAAAGACTCTTCAACTGTAATTGCTACCAAAGCCTCTTCATACTGCTGCCGGTCTTTACCACTATCACATAAAACCTCTTTCACAGCCATTCGTAATTCATCTGCATTCGTATGAGTCTGGGTTTAGTAATGCATCTAAAAGTCTGAACCTATGAACTGTATAACTTGCTAATCTCCATAAATAAACTGAACATGTACTCATGCTGATACTTTTGGTTTCTCCATGATGAATTAATAAACTCAAGAGTACGCCCTTGCTTCTCAAAGATCAAATGTCTATGAGGAAAAGTGGGGAAGAAGGGGGAGGTGGCAGAAAAAATGAAAAGATTTGCAGACTAAGTAAACAGATAACTTGATATTTCTAACTGCCGAAAGAAATAAAAGCAGAAGAAAAGGAAAAAAAAAACCCTAAAGAAAGATGGTATGTGCAAATTCAGCTGTGCTGACTGAACATAAAGCATATGAATCATACCTGCATCATCTCTCTCCTTCTGGGGGCTTAAAGCAATACCCTTGTGTAAAGCCATCCCTTTGACCTGATTTCCATCAACCATAACTAGTTCAGGAGCAACAAAGATACATCTACGACTTTCTGAGGTCACTCATCTGTTCTTTCATTATTATAGTTATTACACTGAGAATATCTATACCGGGAAAAGAAAACTTTTGGCACCAAATAGAGTGTAAATCAGGCAGTATCAGATTATTTATGTTTTTCATATGCTCACAGACAAATAGCAAAACCAATACTTGTTAATGAAAGAACTCAGGCAGCAGAGAATGCTGTGAAGTTACCCAAATAAGAACATCATTGTATCTACCAACTACCAAAAGAGATATGACTTTACCACTTTGGTCTTCCTTTTTCAATGTGACAACCTGGTAAACTAATGTAATAGACAGTAAAGTGGTTCTCCCAATGCATTCATCATGCTTGAGAATGTGCTCACAATGAAATTAAATGCGACCCCAAAGATAAATAAAGAGCAAGTGTTACCAATGCTCGAAATAGGCAGCGGCCATCTCCAGCAACTTTGTGAACTGAAAAATGCTCAACTTTTTTCGTGGCCGGCGACCCACTTCCTCTGCATCAACAAAGACAGTCCCAAAATCAAACATGAGATTGTAGGACACGGGTTTTGGGATTAAAGAAGGTAGGCAAAAATGTATGGGAAAAGATTAGAGCTTTACAGAGATGGTCCAATTCTAGCGAAGAATCGACTGCTGCTGTCTCCTAGGAAAGCTGTGGACAATAAGTGAGAGACGCTTGGAGTTGAAACAGAAGAAACGAGCTCGAAGTGTGCAATTCCATGTCTAATTTGCTCCAGAATATTCTCTGTTTCAGTTGAAAGAATTCATACCAAATATAAGAAAGAAGTTCGTGGGACTTTGAAATTTGAATTGACAAGTTTAAGATTACCATTAAAAACCTTGTCCGCCATCAAGCATCGACCAAAGAGGATGAAAACAGAGAAACTGAAACTGAAGTCGACAATTGGAGCAATGTATAAAGGGGAAAGGGATCAGCTCAGTGCTTAAAACAGATACATATATGTGAGGGAAACCATCTAACAACAATCCGTTGTAGTCTAGCTGGTTAGGATACTCGGCTCTCACCCGAGAGACCCGGGTTCAAGTCCCGGCAACGGAAATTTATTTTTTATCTTTCAATTTTGGTCTTTCCAGGTCATCCCATGATCAATGAACAGGACAACAACTAGTCAAATACTAATAGGATTTGTTTAATAAACTCAACCAAGCAGACTACCTACCCTAACAAACACACTTGACATTTCCCAACAGTGGAGTTGGGGACTTGCTTTCTTTTGCTTCCCATTCATTTGGAGTCTATTATTATTTTCATTCGGGATAAAATTACATTTCACTTTATTTTAATCGATGTAATTAAAAAAATATATTATTTTATAAAAATTTTAAAAGAGTAGTTTTTGTAAATTGATATTATCATGTGACCATGATGATTTATTAAATCATATATACCTCGTGAATATAAAATATTAATTAAAAGATAACATACTTAATTTTAAATACTATTTAAGTCTATAAAAAAGTATGCTGCAATTAAAATTGCAAATACTATGGTTGTATTGAATGAAAATGAAGTTTAATATTGGGATTGGTGAGGTCGGACAGCCTGAAAAAATCACAGTCAAAACCAAGAGGAGGAGTGCTAGAGAGGTCCGGAGGCGAGGCTAAGGTGAGGGATCATCGAACCCGAGCCCACGACGATCCCATGTGCAACAACACAACAACACGTGCCAGATGGAGAGGGCAAAAAGAAAGAACAGGACCGAATCGCCCTTTTCTCCTTCAACGGCCAAACCGAAAAATGCTGGCTCTTTATAAAAACACAGCTCACTCTTCTCTCTCTCATCCTTTCGCTCTCTCACATAAGAAGTATCGACGTAGCAAAAAGGAATAAAAATAGCAAAAAACCAAACACCGCCTTGGATTGGACGATCTCCACGAAGCTGCGTTTTTCCTCTCCTTCCATTCCTTAAAGATTGATAATCCTCCCTTTTTCTCTTCTCCAACCTTTTCAACTCGTTTTCTCTTTGGATCGTTCTTTCTTGCTCATTCGAAAGATCTCCGATTCTCACCGTTTCTTTCAGTCACTCTCTGGTATATCTCCGTCTGATTTGAGCTGCTTTTTTTTATATATAAAAAAAGTATTTTTGAAGGTTTAATTTGATGCTTGATGGTTCGTATATTGTGATTGCTGCTTCTTCTTTTTTTTCGGGTTTTTTTTGAATGGTGTTCTGTTTGGTTTCCGAGAAAATGGAGGGAAAAATGAGGTTTCGTGTTTGTATTTTTTCAGTTGAAATGTGCGTATTCAGCTGAAATGTATATAAAAGTAAATATTCGGAAGAATTAATGTGGATTGTTTTTGTATGGAAAAAATCAGAGATCAAAATGTTACTTTGTTTACTCTGACTATGAAGAAAGCTAGAATAGGAACGAACTTTGTAAATTTCTTTTTTTATTTTTTTCTTTTGCGTTACTGTTTGAATTATTTTAAGAAAATTGCCTTTTTTTTTATTTGAAATTTGGAGATTTAACTGTTTCGATTCTTTATAGAGTTTGGAGGAATCAAACTTTGTAGTAGGAGATGGCTTCAATATCGTATTCTCCTGCTGCATTTACGGGAACTGCAGCTTCGGATCTTCTTCGGAGCTCCAGTAACGGCGTGAGTGGCATCCCTCTTAAAACCCTAGGGAAGGCGCGTTTTACCGTGAAAGGGAGAGATGCAACTGTAGCTGCGAAGATGAGGAAAGTGAAGAAGCACGAATACCCGTGGCCTGCAGATCCGGATCCGAATGTGAAAGGCGGGGTCCTAACTCATCTCTCCGCTTTCAAGCCATTGAAAGAAAAGCAAAAGCCTGTTACTTTGGATTTTGAGAAGCCTCTTGTTGCTTTAGAGAAGAAGATTATCGACGTAACTCCTTATTTGTATTGATTGTTAATTAAGTTGATAATAATATGTTCGTGCTTGCTTCAAATGTTGTGCTTGTTTCGAATGCAGGTGAGGAGGATGGCAAATGAAACTGGTTTGGATTTCAGCGATCAGATTATATCTTTAGAGAATAAATATCAACAGGTTTGAGTATTAAGTTTGAGACATTGTGGGTTAATTAGTTGTATTCTTCATATTGAGCAATCAAAAATTTTGCTGTTGCACTTGCTATGGCATTCATTATTAGTTGTTTAGAAATTGATTGTAGTACTTCACTTTAGTTTTGGATTCATTCACTTATTGCAGAGGATAATCTATAATGAAGCAATTGTATTATTGTTTGAAATTTTATAGTATTAAACTTCAAAATAAATAACTCTTCTCTATCTAGAGTCTGTGCTGTAAGCGTAATGTGTTGCTTTAATATTCAAAGCTTAATAATGAGGGCTGAGAGCTTAATAATGAGGGCTGAGCTTGTTATTTAAAGTTTTGGAAAGGGCTTATCCATTGTTCCACATGCTTTGTAATTGCTAAAATTTTAGCTTCCTGTGAAATTTAATTATGATCATTCTCTTTTCTAAGGATATGATGGTTTTTGATTACTTTTTTGCTATCTGCCAATGTATAAAACAGACTTTTCACTTGTTACAAATATGTGTAAGAAAATATAACGCAATATGCAATTGTGCATCAAGCTTGCTGTTTGCAAAGTCTGAGTTCTTGTGCCTGATCTTTGTGTTAATTGTCAAATTTTAAGTGCATTCTAAGATGTTGATGCTCTGCCAAAAAAATTGACATATCATCATGTTGGTGGTTTCCTGTTCTAATTCTTCTCACCCCTTTCTGTTATTTATTTCAGGCTCTAAAGGACTTATACACACATCTGACCCCTATACAACGTGTGAACATTGCTCGGCACCCTAACAGACCTACATTCCTTGATCATGTGTTTAGCATTACTGATAAGGTTTGGTGGTTATAGGTTCTTCAAGTTTCAGATATTAATTATTGTATATTCTCTTCGACTTTCAGATACTTAATATGTTGCATATTCTCATCAACAATATTTTTAACATCTGGCTTGTGGGTGCTGAAAAATTGTCTTAATATATGTCTCTTGTATTTTCGCATATATCCAGTTTGTGGAACTTCATGGAGATCGAGCAGGGTATGATGATCCTGCTGTTGTTACTGGTATAGGAACCATAGATGGTAGGAGGTACATGTTTATGGGTCACCAAAAGGGTAGAAATACTAAAGAGAATATTCAGCGTAACTTTGGAATGCCAACTCCCCATGGGTAAGTTGAATGAAACTTATATATTGGTGGTGACTTTGAAATTTTCATTTTATTTGAAAGAGGGTATTCTGCTATGTCACTCTTAACACGGGGATAAATACATGCAGTTACAGGAAGGCTCTACGCATGATGTATTATGCAGATCACCATGGGTTCCCTATAGTTACTTTTATTGACACTCCTGGGGCATTTGCAGACCTTAAATCTGAGGAACTGGGTCAAGTATGAGCACTTTTGTATTCTGAAGCTTGCCAAATTCACTTTTAATGTTGTCTTGACTGATTTCTATGCATTACGTTCATGCAGGGTGAAGCTATTGCCCATAATTTGAGGACCATGTTTGGTCTGAAGGTCCCAATCATTTCTATTGTTATTGGGGAAGGTGGCTCTGGTGGTGCCTTGGCCATTGGCTGTGCTAATAAGTTGTTAATGCTGGAAAATGCAGTCTTTTATGTTGCCAGGTGATATAAGGTTTTTTCCTGTTGTCTTTATTGTATTTTAATTAATTATACCTATATGGTATATGGCCTTCCATACACAAGAAATGGATGAAATTGCTATTTTCTAAAATCTTTATTTTTCTTCATGGTACCTGTGGAAGATTATCTATTATTCCTGTATATGTGGATCATTTTTTATGCCATATCTACATGTGCTGATGCTTCTTTTTCTCTGATTTATATTTTTTAATGGTATAGTCCGGAAGCATGTGCCGCAATTTTATGGAAGAGCGCCAAAGCTTCTCCAAAGGTTTGAAAAGAATTATCACTTTTGGGCTTTTCTTTAAGTACTGATTTGTTTGATAATAGAACATTCAAAGTTTTCATCTATGCAGGCAGCCGAGAAGCTGAGGATTACTGCCACAGAGTTGTCCAAGCTAAAAATCTGTGATGGAATCATTCCTGTAATTAATATCATTGTTCTCATATCTTCAATGAATCAGTTTTTCTGCTTTTGCATTTTTCTTTTCTGTTTTTTTTTTTCTCCTTTCCTAGTTCTAGGCATTACAAAAACCATGATGACTTAAACCTACTACAGGCAATTTCATGCAGCAAAGTTGACTGCTAAATGCACCATTTCGCTACTGTCCTTAAGCATATTCTTTATAAGCCTTTTACTGTACCATGAGAAGTCTGATTCATGTATTTCATATCTTTGTGATATGTTTGATGAAAACGCTGTATTTGGTTTTTGAAGTATTTGCATTTGTATAACTTCAAAGGTTGAATGTTGCTCCGGATTGTTATTTCCTTTTGGAAGTTAATGTTAATCTCCATGGCATCTCAGACTTATTTTTACTTTTGATAGGAGCCACTGGGTGGTGCCCATGCAGATCCAGCTTGGACTTCACAACAAATAAAAGCCACAATTAATGAAACTATGGATGTGAGTTTCACAATTAATGAATTTTCACAACAAAAATGATATTTTTTATATATTAACAAAAGTTTATGCTACAGGAGCTCACAGCCATGGACACAGAAAAGCTACTAAAGCATCGCATGCTTAAGTTCAGGAAACTGGGTGGGTTCCAAGAAGGTGTCCCAGTAGATCCCAAGAAAAAGGTCAATATGAAAAAGAAAGAAGAAACTGTTGGTAGAACCTCCAAGGCAGAGTTGGAGGGTGAGGTTGAAAAACTGAAACAACAAATCTTGAAAGCCAAGGAATCATCCACCAAGCCTCCTGAGTTGGCTCTAAAGGACATGATAGAAAAGTTGAAAAAGGAGGTTGATCATGAGTACTCTGAGGCTGTCAAAGCCATGGGCTTGAAGGACAGGCTTGCAATGCTGAGAGAAGAAGTTTCAAAAGTAAGTTCAAAGGACCAGCTCATGAATCCTGTTATTATGGATAAGATTGAGAAGCTTAAACGTGAGTTCAATCAGGGTCTGGCAGCAGCTCCAAATTACACAACCCTCAAATATAAGCTTGATATGTTGAAGGAGTTTTCTAAAGCCAAGAGTCTCTCGGAGGCTGCTACGCTGAAGCAGGAAGTCAATAAGAAATTCAATGAAGTCATGGGTCGGCCAGAGATAAATGAGAAGTTTGAAGCGTTAAAGGCTGAGGTTCAAAATTCTGGGGCATCCAGCTTTGTGGATTTAGATCAAGGGTTGAAGGACAAAATTCTGAATATGAAGAAAGAGGTAGAATTGGAAATCATTAATGCTCTTGAGTCCTTGGGTTTGGATGTTGAGGTAGTAAAATCCAATGCGAAAGTCCTAGGTGATCAGGCTTCGCTCTCAGTCTTTAAAGATAAGGTGGAATATTTGAATGAAGAAATTAACAAGAAAATTGAAAATGTTGTCCACTCATCGGAGTTGAAAAATATGATGGAGTCGTTGAAGCTGGAGATAGCAAAGGCAGGAAAGACACCTAATATTGAATCAAAAAGTAAGATCAAGGCTCTAGAACAACAGATCAAGCAAAGACTTTCAGAAGCTATCAGCTCCTCAGAATTGAAGGGGAAGCATGAAGAGTTGAAGGCAGAAATTTCTGAAGCTATACAATCTTCTGGGGGAACTGATGGAAGTTTGCAAAAGGAAACCAAGTATGAGGAACCTAGAGTAGAGATCAATTTGGGTGCAAACCGCAGCTTTGCTTAGTGTACGTACCTCCTGGCTTATACAGTTATCTGTATTTTTTTTCCTTTAAATTTGTGATGAATAATCAAATTTCTTCATTGTTTTTATTTGGATGCTTAAAGATGAATACCATTCGAAAAAGGACCTGGAATAACTAGTTTACTATCAAATGCAGTTTAGTATTTCTTTTCTGATACAATTAGGGATTGAAATGCAGGTTAATTCTAAAAGTGGAATAAATTCATTGGCATTTTTGTTGTTCCTTGCATGATTAACAGCTGGTAATGATTACAACTATTAATCATAAATACACAACTCCTTTTATTAAAGAGTGATTATGTTAATTTATAAGTTTCAGTATAAAATCTTAATTACTTTGTTAGTTTATTTGATTGGTATGATTGACTTGTATGTTTCATATTTTGTTGTTACTTTACAGGATCTTGGTTCTTTCATAATGTTAGTGGTGTAGAGATGGTGTAGAAAGAGATGGTGTTTCAAGTTTGAAGAATTAGAATTGCATCGAAGTTCTTCCAGAGAGAATTATTCAACCGTGAGCCTTGCAAGTGCCATTGAGTCCTCCACTCTCCCCTGCAGGCTAAGAGGGCAAAAGGTTTTGCTTCTATGAAGAAACTGATTGGCAATTTCCCACAATTATTGCTCTTGCTCCCCTTTTATTTAAGCTGAAACTCTCCATTTTGAATTAGGTTGTTAAATTTTTCGTTTGGGTGTTTGCTTTCTTTCCTTCTATTTATTGGTAGAATGTGTTTCCCTTTCACTGATAAACAAAGAACACTGTATAGCTTGTGTGAGCAGCTAGGGGAAGCCATTGGCATGCTTCCAAACATCAGGAATAACATACTATTCTCTTTTTGTCCCCCTCAGTTTCCTATCCCCCCCGTTTTGACCGATTAGTTAAACTACTATGTCGGACCAAGTTCGTATGTTATCTTATTACATACTTTTCTGCCTAGTTATCGAAGAATCGAGTTTTGTGTAGTCTATGGGAATGCAGGCTGCTGTAGTATTAGGTTCCCCATGGCCAAAATGTATCTTGTGGTTGTAAGTTGTTTCCGTGCCCTGTTGATAAATTACTGAGCAACGGGGCAAGGTCAATACTTACTACTTCTACACTTTTGGTAGAGGAGAAACAGGAAGGAAAAAACAAAACGACAGTGGAAGAAAATTAGTGTCCTCTCCTCCCTTTGCATACATAACATGGGACTGGTTTTCTTTCTTCGCGGCCGCTAAGCACTCAGTCTGAAAGAAACAGTCGAACAGAAATCTGCCCACAGGGTCAAATCAGAAACTTCCTCTTTTGATCATAAGCAGCATTACCAACATATTTTTTTTTTTTGCTCATAAGGACCAACAAAGTTGATGAAGAGCAAAATGAGGTACAAATCATAACAAACACGAAAACCTATTTCTTTTATTAATCAAAACCAGTCAAAAAACTACATTGATCACTGAATCAAATCCTCCATGGAAACTTTCTTCATGTAGGTGAAAAGTGGGGAGGGCAGAAAGAAGCGTCAATAGAGAAATGGGATCACAGCTTTTCTGTGCTTGGGGTAATCGTCCTTGAACTTCTCCAAATACCAGCGGCGGCTGGCACGAGCTCTAGGCACCAGGTTGGCACAGGTGTAGAGAAAGAACCCATACCCCACCCAGGACCATGTCATCACCGCCCAGCCCAACCACTCCATGATCTCCCCAAAGTAGTTAGGGCAGCTCACCAAGTCGAACAACCCCCCTCTTGGAACCTTGTATCCGCCACCACCCTGTTTTTTAAGCCCCACCAGAACTCCGTCAGCCCAAACATTCACCCACATGCCAGTAATAAAAACCAGCAATCCGACGAGGAATCTCAACCAAAACAGCTTGTCGTTTTCATAATCATCCTTGTAGTGCGACACCCACCTGGCTTGCAGATAAGCATTCAAGAGATTAAACCCGAAAGCCATGAGAGCTATACTCACCGGAAAACTCCTGGCTTGGCCGTTGCTGCTCCGTGCCAGGCGAAGAGGGTAAAGCACTGTACGGTTGAAATAGTGGAAGAGATAAGGAGACATCAGAATGAACGATTTCGGGTTGGAAAAGTGTCGGCCGAAAGGAAAGAGCAAGACAGTGAGCCAAAGGGTGGGGCTTTCCATGAGGAACCAAGCCAAAGATGGAGACAGGGTTGGCCCCCATCCAGGGCGGTTGTGCTTGCCGTAAGGGGCCTGGATGAACTTGAGGCCGATCCATGTCGGTAGGACGATGAGGTAGAGACCGAGGAGGCTGTAGTGAAAAAGGGTCTGATCTGAGTCTCTGGGCATTTCTGTTTCTTCCGTTTGTAGATGAGACACAATGATCTGAATCAAGTTTCAAGGATTCATGGTTAAGCCAGAAGTGAATCTGGTCGGGGTTTGTGTAGGTTATGTTACTGTTTTAGTTATGTTGGGAAAGTGACTTACTGACTTCGTGTACTTTAGATGGTCCTTCCCCATCTATCTCGTTTGCCTAACCGTCCCCCCTCCTTGTAGCAGCATAGAAGTGAATTAATTGTAAACTCTATAGCTTTAAATTTATTTTGGATAAATTTCTTTAACTCATTTAGAGGAAAAAGACAAAAGGGTGAGCCAAGAAGATTCCAGAAGTATCCCATGTGTTGTTAAAATTGTTCTAGAGATTTTTGCAGGCAAGAAGTCATACTCCCATTAGCATTAAAAACCAGGAAAGTCCTAACCTGATAAAGCTGAAATTGCAGGTGTTCATCTTTACCATTCTTTTATATCTTTTTCCCTTTTCTTTTTCTCTTAATTTATTGCCATTGCCAACATCTCAACTAACAGAGCACTTTGCTCAAATAACCATCAAAGATTTGCCAAAGGAGCCTTAGATTGCATAAAACCAGAGAAACTAAAACATAGTACTATGAAAGTCGCAAAATCCCAAACTGAAGAAAATAACAAGAAAACAAAGAAAAACCAAAATATTGACAGAAAAATTTTCCCAAGAGCTCGGAAAGGTGGAAATCTAGTGGATGCAAGGGACAATGCAAGGTCAGGCAATTGCAATTCCCTATCCATGCATCTCTCAGGATTTACTTTCAAAAATCTGACTTTCTGGTATAGTGCAGATGTCTGGTAATAGTACTCAAATCATCACAATATGGTTACCACCAGTAAAAGTAAACCTTGGGAAGTTTTGGACTATCACAAACTAAATATCACTGGTTTCAAGTTCTGCCCATAGCTCCATCTGATCAGTTCTCAAACGTCTGATAAGGCTGCTTCTCTGGGGTATGAATTTTGTTCCCTTTTTCATCTTGATCCTGAATTGCCTCATCTCCTCATGCTTGAAATCATACATATGCATGATATTTGTATGGAAAGAGTTTTGCTTGTCCAAGAGCATTATCACCTCACCATTTCGCAAGGTAGCAGCAGCAGCTAGTTTCAGAAAATTGGGCAACTTGGCTTTCTTTTCCTTTCTACTTAGTATGCATCATCAACCTTTTCTTGTTCTCCCCCATCTGAATGATGCTTGACTTTCTTGGTGGGTCCTGAAGAAGCTTTGAATGGTGTGTAGTTTGTAAACATGGCACTGATGCTATGTTCCTTTGGCCAAACCTACCTATCAAAATCTTTCAGAACCCAAACACCTGGAAGCTTTGTACACAAAACAAAGCTTCCCGTCCATCTCCACCAAATCGTATTCATGTTTGTCTATCTTTTTATATCTAATCAACACGTGTAATTCATTTTCATATATATTCTATGTCCAATGAATTTGGATCGATAATTTTATAATTTTATAGATGATTCATCATCAAAATTTTTTAGAACCAAATATTTTTAAAATTATAAATATTTTTTTTGAAGATTTTCGATTTCTAAATTTATTTATTGATTTAGTTTTTTTATTTAATAACATAAGCAAAATAGAAGTAATTGTTTTTAAGTCAATTTATTCATCTCACCACATTGTCTAAATGTTGATTTTACTATGAACAATACCCTATTCATCGTCGATAAAGTAGTGGCGGATATGTAAATTTTGTATATTTGTTGTGCAATTATTTGAATATAAATAAGTAATTTGAAATTTCATTATTAAGTTAACATATTTAGTTAAGTTAATCAATACTAACACAGCTATATTACGAACTATATATCAGATGAACAAAGTGTTAGAAAAATAAGCAAATAGAACCATACAGTTAAAGCTAAAATAACCCAAAACAGTCATCTCACTAGAAAAACAAAAGGAGTCATGGAGGAAAAGTGTTTGAAGCTCTAGAGTGAAATATTGCTTATTGCTGCAGATAGCTCCATCTGATCAGTTCCCAAACTGACAAGGCTGCTTCTGTGGGGTTGGAATGCTGTCCCCTTTTTCATCTTAATCCTGAATTGCCTCATCTCCTTACGCTTGAGATCATACAAATACATGATATTTGCATGGATAGAGTTTTGCTTGTCCATGAGCACTATCACCTCACCATTTCGCAAAGTAGCAAGAGCTTCTAGTTTCAGAAAATTGGGCAACTTGGCTTTCTTTTCTTTTCTATTTAGTGATGCATCATCAACCTTTTTTTGTTTTCCTCCATGTGACTGATCCTTGTCTTTCTTGGTGAGTTCTGAAGAAGCTAGCCATGGTGTATAGTTTGTAGACATGGCAATGATACTATGTTCCTTTGACCAAACCTGCCTGTCGAAATCTTTCAGAACCCAAAAATCAATTTGGAACTTGGAAACTTTATACACAAAACAAAGCTCCCCGTTCATCTCCACCAAATCATATTCATACTTCATGATGCTCCTCCCCACGTCTGGAAGATTTGTTCTTCTCAACTTTTCATCGCTTAAATCCATGGAAATTATATATGTGTCAGACTCAACAAACCAGTGCAAAACTTGCCCACCGATCGACTCAGGGTCACTCCAACTGAACCGCTCCACGTCAAAAGGTCTCTCATTTAAATCTCCGAAAGGCCCTGGAATCCTTCTCCATTTATGATCAGAACCAATGGTGAACAACTCGAACCCATAGGAATCAGCATATACGTGCACCACTTTATACTCCTTTGTGCCAGGGTTGAATCCTAGTGCAAAGCCACAAGTTAGGTACTCGTGCCTACAACCAGAAGGGCAACTGGGGAGAGTTAAGACAGAACCAGTTAAGATATTTTTGACACATGGCATTGATGTGCCTTCTTCAGTCTTACTTTCCAGAACCAGACCATTGCAATTGGACTTACTCAGGTTCGTTGAATGCGTGCTATAATTAGTTAAGGTGAAGTCAAACTCATTCTCATCAATCTGTAAGAAACTCGTCTTCCACCATGTGTTGTCTACGGTCCAGGGCCACCTGGGGACTTGGATCAGCAATCCAGGTTTCTGGTGAACTACATTCTCGTAGGTGAACTCGCTGCTACTGATCAATCTATGCCATTCTTTACATACGAACCTCAACGTATTGTAAAGAACTTCTGATGGGACTTTAGCAAGAATATAGACGATGATATGTTTAGGAAGTTCCGGAGGGTTTCCATTGTTCAACTGGTTAGCCTTCATCTGGCTCGTCTTGCTAGCGAATTCCTCCCCTTTTCTCTAAAAACAAGAAAATACTATGAAACATTACAGATAAAACCAAGGAAATCGATCCAAACCCTTTGCCCTAGCAGGGGCAAAATTTCAAATTAACAGAAGCAGTAAGCACCGACAAGAAAGAAAAACAACTCTAAATAACCAGACAAACAACAAATAGCTCAAGCTAGTTTCTGTTTCTGACGACTTAATAGTAACATGCATGCTAATTATCTAATCTGATAGTTTAAAAATAAATAATAAACTTACTGTTCAGCTTATGCTGATGAAGCGCCAGGCGATGATGCAGAGAGATGATAGACTACTTGCTTGCTTTACGTTGGAGGATGGAATAACAACCCGAGACAGGTCCTTTGTGTTTTTATAGCCCGTGAGATAGTAGTGGCATGCCAGGAGTAGGAGAATTTAGAGTTAAATAACCAAAAAAAACTCTTTCATTATTTTCTTTTCAATTGAGTCCTTATATTTTATTTTACCTAATTAAATCCTTATCTCGTAACTAAAATATAATGAATGTTATTTTCAATTGACAACCATTACTTCTTGTGTATGTAAAATATGACGGAATGTGTTGATATAGAAAGGGAATTGCTTACGTGATATGCCATCATAAAAAAATTTCATATCATCAATTTTATAATGTCTATTTAGCACATCATGTTAAATTTCACATATATAATATATAAAAGTTGTCATTCAGTATAAATTTGTAATTCATTTTCATGCATATTCCATGTCAAATGTATTTGGATCAATTTTAAGATAATTTTGCAATTTTACAGATGATTTATCATCTAAATTTTTTAGAACCAACATTTATAGGGAAGTTTATGATCTTATACACATACCCATTCATCTCATATTGAAAAATATAATTGTAAAATCGATTATTATATATAAAATAAATATTTATGAATTGTAAAACTTGAACCTCCAAAAAATTTTAATTTTTTAATGATTTTGATCATTTAAGTTACCAAGTTATTTAAAATAATATTAACACTAAGTGAATAAAAAATACCAACGACATTAAACATAATGTTAAGATTCTAAAATTAATAAAATTAAAAATAAATAAAGAAATGAATTATAATATGTATCATAATGTAAATGTATGAATCTTCTTATAGAACTTATGAATTTGATATATTTATATATTATTTAATATTATAATTTACATTTTTAATAATAAAATATTATTCATTTTAAATATTACTTTTTAAAAAATATTATAAATTTTATAATCGATATTATAATATATTAAACCATTAACTTGATCTTATGAAAGTACAACCTGATCCACGTGGTTCAAAATTTTTAAAATAAATCTTGATTCTGAAATCGCTCACTGGGTCCATCCTCACCCTTACTTAAGGCTAATTAGTATCTCTCTCCCTATAAAGAATCACGGGCTGCTCCTCGGCTTTGCCTACGTGCACTTCCTCACCTCACTTCATGGCCCAATGTATATATTATATGTTGTGAATATATAATATTTATATATTATCACTTAATTATAGAGTATCTTTGTTATAAATATATAAAGGTAAAATTTTAAAATAAAAATTTTTAAAATTAATGAGGTGATAATATTTAATTTAATGATAATATATAAATATACAGAAAGTGTATCAAATTTAAACCTTATTACAGATTTATATTTGATATATTGTTAGTTTATAATATTTATACATTATCATTTAATCATAACATATCATTTCATATATTTACAAATATACAAGTTAAAAAATCTTTTAAATAAATATTTTTAGAATTATGAGTATTTATGATAGAAAGTTTTTGTTGGGTCTTAATCTTACTCTTCTTTGTTCCCCTGCCTTCCCACCTTCCATGTTTTTGTTAGGTACTTCCTTAGTTATAATTTTTTGTTATTCCTATACCTTTGAAAGTTTATATAAACTAATTAAGAAGAGTTTATTGATTTATGGAGATAATTATTACAATTTTTTATACATAGTTTCATACTCTGAAAGAGTAAAAATTATCTTTAAGAGTAAAAATATAGTAAGTTATAGCTGTCATTGATAATAATGTTCATTATATTTTCGTTACAAGTAAACAAGTTTAATTGGATAAATAAAAAATTAAGAACTTAATTTGATACATATAAAAAATAATTCATGCAAAAATGTGTAAACTTTAGAAATACTTTTTTATTATTTAAGCTTAGAATTTACACATAAATCATATAGCATATTACCATTACAAGAACATATGATTTATTTATTATATATATTTTTATGAATTTATTTTATTTTAACATAAAACAAAAGTAAATTAATAATTAAACATAAACTATAATGTTTATTATGTGCCAAAAGGAAAATACAAACAGTATAAAATTTTAAAAATAATAAAATTTAATAATAAATAAATAAATGAATTATAATATGTTATGTAACGTAAATATATAAACCTTTTTGTAAAATATTTATAAATTTGTTATATTATTTGATTATAATTTACATTAAACGATAACGAAATATTATTCCCTTTAATACTTATTTTTTAAAACAATTATTAAATTTATAATTGATTTTAGTTTGTATCGAGCTTTAAAATTTTCAAAATAAATCTCACATGGATCACCCACAATCTTCCCCTATTTTTGAATATTAATATACTTTTGGAATTTTTAACCTGACTTTCCTTTTTTGCCCTTTACCGTACGCAATGTATTACTGTTGTAAAAACCCTTTTGAGAGGCGAATACGTCAAGGACACGGCAGGTTCCCGACGCTGGGTACTCCCCCAATCCCAAGCTTCCACCTGTCGCTGCCGGCCTTTTCCACGTTTTCTTTCCTTTACCGTTTTCCTGTGTGAAGTACTGTGAGCTCACATTCTTACTGGCCTGGAAAGAATCACGGGCTGCCCCTTGGCTTTGTCTACGTGCACTTCCTGATCTCGCTTCATGGCCAAATGTAAGTGTGTTGCTGCACTCACGTTTTTAGTTCGAGGATTCTCCTTTTCTTTTTCACCTTTCGTTTTCCGTTCCGAGTGTATAATATTTATATATTATCGATTAATTATAAAATATTTTTGATAAATAAAAATTGAAAAACTTACAAAATAAGTATTTTTAAAATTAATGAGATAATAATATTCAGTTTAGTGATAATGTGTTGATACATGGATAATGTATTAAATTTAAACTTTATTAGGGATTTATATCTGATATGTGGTTAATATATATTACTTATAAATTATCATTTAATTTCAAAATATCATTTCATAGAGACATAAAAATAAAAATTTAAAATAAATATTTTTAAAATTATAAGCATCTATTTTGATCGTAATTTTTAAATTTATTTAATATTAAGCTGATAATATAAATTTAATATTAATTTCATTTTACCTTCTCGATTTAGTAACGCAACCAAAATAGTAATAATAAATTTCTAGTTATTTATTCAACATCAATGAAATAATGAAATTTTGAATATTTATTGACTATTCATTTAAATATAGTAAATAATTTAAAATTTTATGATTAAGTTTAACGAGTGATAATTTAATAGAACAAACGGTTATTATCTCACAATAAATCGACTCATTAAGCTTAACTTTAGTGAAATCCTGAATAAACTTTTTTAAATTCTGACGTAAGCCTAAGTTTAGCTTTTGAAAGTGTTGATCATGTCAGACTGACCCAATCGGATCCCCGGATGTCTCTATTTCTCGTGCAATTGAAAAATTAGGGAATAAAAATAAAAACCTAGGTAAAATGATGAGGATCAGGACTTCACCTCCAAGTTGTCTACCAAAGTTAATCAATACAGACACAGATAATGGCAACAAAAATAATCACACGTACTATCATTTGTTAGGCATCCATCATGGCATTAATTAACTTTTGGCAGAATTACACTTTCTGCAACCTTAGTCAAATTTAATAAAATCTGCAGAAACATATATATATTGTGGTAAAAAAGAAAATTAAGGAGTAAAAAAAGAAAGGTAAAAAAAAATATTTACTAAACCCAAATTTGCAAATTTCACCACTTAACATAATAAGTAAAATGACAATATTGCCCCTGACCAATACTAACAAGGTAAGTTTTCACTTTTTTTTTTGTCTTTTCCATCCGTAGACCACAGTATCAGGCAAAATGACAATATTATCCCTAAGCAAATTTCCCCCTGGCATTTTCCCGAATAACTTTTTTTTATTATTTGCTTAAATTTTTTTTTATTATTAAATTATGTTATCGCGATTATATATATTTTGCCTGCTATTTATTTGATTTCCCAGTCTCCAAATCTTGAAATTTCTCTGCTCCTCCATGCCGCATTCTCTCTCTCTCTCTCTCTCTCTCTCTTCAGACTTTGGAGTGATTTATTTACTTTTACTCAATTTCTCTCTCTCTTCTTTAAAAAAACCAACAACTTTCTCTCTCTAGGGTTTCGAAGGGAAAATTTCATAGCAGCAGGGGGGGCACCCCGCCCTAATTGTAGGGTTCCTGCGACTTACATAACGAGTTTATTGTGTCTATCGGATTCACGAGGGGTTTCAATTTGTTTTTTTTTTTAATTCCTGGGGAAAAAGAAACGGAAGAGGGAATCAGCTCGTTTTAGCGGCGTAGTGGATCACCGTTTTTGTGCTGTAATTTCGTCGTTGATTTCTTGTTTCTGGTGAGTTCCAAGCTAATTTCGTGTTTCTTTTTTAATTTCATTTTTTTTTCGCTCGTCAACTGTTTCGCTTTTGCTGCCAAATGGATTGCGTAATGATTTTTTTTGTTGGTTAGGGTTTTTCGAGTTGTTTCGTTTAGTTGGCTCACCAGCTAGACATAGTTTACAGCAACAAAATAAGAAAAAGGAAGAAGCACGAGGTAAATTAGAAAACAGAGAGAGAGAGAGGGAGAGAGAGAGAGAGAGAGCTGTTAAGTTGATTTTGCTCTTAATTTGAGACTTAAGTTACGATTGTATTTGCTAGGAGGAGCTAGTCATTGAATTTGTTATGATTTATTATTAATTTGTGAGAGAATTTTCTGCTTAAGCGTAGATATCTTTCATTTGTTTTAATTTTGTATGCCTTTCTATGTAGGTTATAAGTTCATGGTGTTCTATAGATGCTGAATGATTGCTAGTATGGACTTAAATGCTTCGCCATTACCTGAAGATGATGAAGAGACATATGAAAGACATATAGAACATTACTCTGCACCAGAAGACCATGTAGAGTCCGCAGTTGAAATTTCACGGCGGGTACTTCTTGAAAAATTTATTCTCTCTTCTGGATTTTTTTTTTTTCATTTAAAGAAGCACGCATCTAGTTGCTCTTGATGTTTATCATTGATTGGTAGTAATTCCTGGCATTTTTTTTAAAAAAATTCTGGTAAGTATGATTTGGGCAATTTCAGAATGAATCCGTCCATTTGTAGGGGGACAGGGTGAGGTAGTTCTGTAGCTAAGATAAATGTTTTTGTTTTCATGTGCATATATGAAGTGTTGAAGTTGTGTGCATTCCATGACTAGTAGCTGTAACATGGAGGTCTGAGAAAGGACTCTGTGGCTTGTATATTTATTATACTGGAGAATGCTTTCTCCTGTGCGAAGGAATTGCGTAGATGTACTTATATTTGTAGCAGAGTTGTGCTCCACTGTTCCTTGTCCATTTTAGAAAAAATCAGGATTGAGTGTTAATTAACAGGCACATTGGGTTCCTTTTTGTACTCTTCCCTTATCTGTTTCCGCCCAAGGTTAATCATGTAATACTGTGTTGTTTTTTATATTATTTTATTCTTTCAATTGTTCATAATCTTCATATTTGTGTATAACTGTTCATTCATGCATGGTAATTGAATTTGCTTTTGTTAGGAACGTGAAGAAAGACGGAAGAGATTGAGAAGAGACCGACCAGATGACCGGCCTGTGCATGTCTCTCAGCCTTCTATACATGATCACTTTTATCAAAATAGGAATCCCAGGGCTTATGATAGGAGTAGGATCCCTCCTGGTAAGGTCCCTAACATTGCACAATAATTGCTATATGGTTTTGTTGTTATTTTCAATGTATTTTAATACAATTGGTGTTCCTTTGCCAAATTTTGTGGAGTTTTTGAGATTGTGATAGTTAATCATCCATATCTTTGATTTGTTGTGTGTGTGCATTCTTTTTTTAAAAAAATTTTTTTTTATACAAATTGATTGCTAATAATGGCTTTTATATGTCAACAAATCAGCAAAATGGTATCCATAATATCAATGATCAATATAAGAATTTTATGCATACATTGTTTGAAGTTGATGATTTGAATGATTGTTTCAGCCTTTCAGGACTATATTATAGTGCATTATGACATTGGTATCATAATTAAAACCCTATATGGAATTTGTAATTATTACACATTTCATTTTTGTGCTTAAGATTACGATTCGATTGATTTATTTAAAATTTTAAATTTTTGTTGTTGCTTTAATCATTATGCAATTTTCTTTTCTTTTCAAATCTTTTTGCAGGTTGGCTGGATTGTCCTTCGGTTGGCCAGGAAATAGGCTGCATCATTCCTTCTAAGGTTCCACTTGGTGAAGCTTACAATGACTGTGTACCTCCTGGTAAAAGATACTCTTTTAAACAAGTGATTCATCAGCAAAGAGTTTTGGGAAGAAAGGTATATAGAGAGTGTTGCATTTTCTTTTTCTGATTTCAAAGTGTTAATACCTTGTTAATTTTCCCTTGAAATGCAAAATGGATTTTTTCTATCATGATAAGACTATCATCTGAACCATGTAAATAGCTTGTCTATAACCTGGTGAAAGAGTTTAAAGTTAACAGTAAATCCTCGAAAATGCTAGGTTATGTTACTATAGAATTGAAAAATGTATATAGTGGCTAAGGTGATAATACAGAGCAAGGTGTTGGACATGGATAGTATGCAAGATTTTGCTTAAGTGTTTGTTCTAGGGACTTGAACCAGTGCTTTTGTATATGTGACCCAAATAATTAGATATCAGTTTCTGTTGGATAAGGCCTATAAAGTAAGATTGTTAATTGGAGAATAATCTGTACATTACCTGCAATGTTCTGTTTTCAGCTTGGTTTGGTGATTGATTTGACAAACACATCTCGTTACTATCAAACTACAGACCTTAAGAGAGAAGGAATTAAGCATGTAAAGGTGAGTATAGGGTTAGTATTTCTTTATGCTTCTCTTGTTGCTTGCTTCTTTTTGATTTTAAATTTTTATTTTTTTCTAGATTCAATGCAGGGGAAGGGATGCTGTACCAGATAATGTGTCTGTAAATACGTTTGTTTACGAGGTACTTCTTGTTATAATACTTGTCTATCATTTTCCAGAATCTAGTAGAATATATGCCTTCATCTCTTCTTAGAATGTGATTGTTGTGATAGATTTAGTCTCAACTCCCATGGTGCATATATCAATTGATGACTGAAGTTGTGGCTGGTATTATATGTTTCCTTATCATTGTTGCAAATCCAACAAACTATTATTTTGTAATCTCAATCATGAATCGGACTTTATCCCATAATCAATTCCATCTCCCACTTCTTCTCATTCATCTAGTACATTTTCTAATCTACTAATGGCATGCACATTCTCAATCTCATAAGTTACTTGTTCCTAATATGCTGTAATTAATTTATGAAATTTTTCATGTAATTTTTTTATTAGGTGTCACAATTCCTTCTACGTCAGAAGTCAAAGAAATATGTTCTTGTCCATTGTACGCATGGGCATAACCGCACTGGATACATGATTATACACTATCTCATGCGTTCACAATCAATGTCTGTTACTCAGGTCAGGTGTTGTTTGTTACATTTTGCCTTTTTTCAATGTCATTTAGGTATTCATGATGGAATATTATTTTTGTTTTACCTTATGTGCAGGCAATAAAAATTTTTTCGGAGGCACGTCCTCTGGGTATCTACAAACCGGACTATATTGATGCCTTGTATGCATTTTATCATGAAAGAAGGCCTGAAATGGTTGTCTGCCCACCAACTCCTGAGTGGAAGAGGTCTTCTGATCTTGATCTCAATGGTGAAGCAGTTGCAGATGATGATGATGATGGAGGTCCAACTGCATTACATGTATGGGCAACCTTGCAGTATTGTTTATTTCTCATCTTTTTTGTTTGTTATTAACTGTGACAAGGACATTAAAAAAATTGAAATTTGATATTAACAAAAGCTTTTTAATATCCATTGCTTCTCTTTCATATGGGAAAGGCAATATTTTGACCTTTTTGTGGAAAAACAACCTACTTATGATAAAGATTATGTATTTGGTTATCTTCTTTGATCACATCTGTAATCTTTGCTGGTGGTCAGCCTTCCTTTTCATCTTCGTCACCGTGTAGATCACAGAAGTTATTCTGTTAACTGTTATAGAAGTCTTACAAATAATATTAAGTTAAGATTTGTTAGTTGTTGCTAATTGATACGAAGGTATGCTTGTTTGTGTTCCTTCTAGTTTCACATATTATGTTTCGATTTTGCTCAAAATTCTGGAACAAGTATTTGTATAGATTTCAGCTTTTGTAAGTCTTTTGTCATTTCAGGACAATCATGAGACAGATGTCATGTTGACAAATGATGACATTTTGGGAGATGAAATACCTCATGATCAGCAGGAATCACTGCGGTTATTCTGCTACCAAATGTTGAAGTTAAATCCTGGGGTATGCGCCTTGAAATCCAATATTTTTCCTTTGATAGTTAGCTACTTATTCATGTTGTCAAGCCTATTGAGTTATGGAGACAGAAAGTTTTCATCAACATTTGTGACAGACAGCATGCCGTAGCCTTTTTATCCACTTTGGTTTTTTCTTTTTAATTCCTTCTTTACTCTATCTGTGTTAGTTTTGGAGAGGACAATCAAGTGATGAGTTAATGTGCTTTGAATATGTTGGAATGAATGTTGTACTGATAATATTTTAAATGAAACTTATCCATGTCATGCTTGGTAAATTCCTGCATGGTTCTTTCAGTAATCATCAATAAGTAAAATCCATGGAAAGAGAAGAAGAATATTAGTGGGAAGAAACTGAGATAGAAAAAGGAAGAGAAACTACATTTCTTCTCCAATCTTTATCTCATCTTAAGTTTCCAAAGTTTAAATTTTAGTTTTGATATTCATTTTGTTGTTTTGAGATCCCTAAAGGAAACAACCAATATCACCTTTGCACTCATCTTGATCATCGGATTAATGTAAAGATGTCTAAAAAGAATGAAATTAGAGACATCCAAGCAACTTAACGTAAGAGTTGAACCAAATGGTGGGAAACACCCACAGATGCAAACATACAGAGAAAAGGTTGTTTAGACCACTTATCAGATTTCATGTGCTTTTTGTGGCCATATCTTTTACTGCTTTTATAAAAGTTTTCTATCTATTGTTAACGCTTCTATTAAAATGAGTATGAAACCTGTCTTAAAATGCGCAAGAATTGAAGTGTTCTAAATATTTAATTTGATTTCTAGTGTTTATAGTTTTCCTTTGAAAACCAAAACTTTTTGAAAACTTGAATACCTTAAGTTAATTATTTGCTTGGTGTATGATTCATTACAGTTTTGGTTTAACATGAGCTCTGGCATGGCATTTTTTGAAACCAGGTTAGAGGACATTCGCAATTTCCAGGGTCACATCCAGTTTCGCTCAACAGGTACCTAATGTCTTTTTTTTTTTTCTCTGTTTTCTTGGTTAGGTGGTTATAAGTTTTCTTCACATGGCTATTTTACCTCTATGCTGGTTTCTGATTCTTCATTTTGTTCAAATAGGCAAAGTTTCTCTTGGAATTATGATCAGGCTTTAAGCTATTTTCTCAATGATGCACGAATTTTCATTGTTAAACTTGTATAGAGTAAAAGTGCCTTATGATGTGCTAGAGGCTATGCTTTTAGTTAAAGCCATTTAACATAAACATTAGTATTTAAAATTTTGTGGTCAGAATTTTGGCTGCCAGTGTGTGGATATTGCAAAGCATATAATTTGAGGACACAAATTTACATTTTAAATGTTCTTTCTGGTTTGTAGTTATGAAAATAGTTTCAATTCCTGAAGTTTTATGGTGACACATTAACTATTTTTCTTTTTTCCCATTCTTTCTTGGGATTAGCTTGGTCCTCAGTGATAATGAAGTTTCTATGATGTCTATTTCTAATACAAAATAATAGTGAAGAAAAATAGCGTCAAGAAATCTCTGAAGATACGACACTGGCTCAGAAAAGGTACTGAAGCAAAGGTGTGAAGAAGTTGCAATTAGAGGCAGTGTAGGATGTGAGTAATGAAGTAGCTGTAAAATTGAATGCTGCAAAACCAGTAGAAAAAAAGCAGGAATGTCTTCCATGTCTTTGTTTTAACAACCCCCCCTCCTCCCCCCAACAAAAAATATTTTAATTATTTATCAGCTTCTGATGTTCACTTCTTACTTATCTGCCCTCAGGATAAAAGTGCATGTTGAGCTAAGTCCTATTTAGTGTTCTTTTACTTTTTGATCTTCCTTATATGAAAATTGAGTTCTCTATTTTTCTGCTTGCAGGGACAATTTGCAACTTTTAAGGCAACGTTATTATTATGCCACTTGGAAAGCGGATGGAACACGATATATGATGTTAATAACTGTTGATGGATGTTATTTAATTGATAGGAGTTTTAATTTCCGAAGGGTTCAGATGAGGTTTCCGAGTAAACACCCACCTGAAGTATGTATTTCCATATCTTTTTTTCTAAGGGAAAATCTGTGAATTTAGTGTCTCATGAGTCTTATTAATTTGACATAATTTTTTCACTTGTAAGGGTATAGGGGACAGAACTCATCATTTCACATTGCTTGATGGGGAGATGGTAATTGATACCATGCCAGACTCTCAGAAGCAAGAGAGAAGATATCTCATCTATGATATGATGGCACTTAACCACGTGCCTATCATTGAGGTTGGTTGTGGTTCTTTAATACAGGTTTTTTTTCTCTTCGGCATCATAACTGTTTTATGGAACTGATAGTTCAGTTGATATCTTTCAATATAGTTATTTAATCTATTTTTACTCTAGGCTTTTGGGAGACTATATATGTTAAACATTCCTAGTTGTGCCTTGTCAGAAATCCTTTAATGCTCAGTGCTCTTAATTTGCTTTTGATTTTGTTCTGCCTAACCAAATTATCAACAAGCATTATTTGATGTTGGAACTGCTTGTCATCCATTTGTGGTAATGGAAGATTGATTGTTTAATGACTACAAAGTAAATTTGTCATGGGAGTTGTGTTGGTTTCCCTTCTCATAACTTTTATTGCTTCTTTTTCTGGTTTCTGTTTCTTCTGGAGATTAAACAATGGAGTTATTAGATTCAAAATCGAGAGACAAAGTGCCTTTTTAATTGTTAGAATTCTGTTTTCTCCATTTTCTCTTATGAAATGGAAAAATACATCAAACATATTTAGTGATCCTATGAATCAAAACTGGTGCAGCGGCCTTTCTGTGAACGATGGAAAATGCTTGAAAAAGAAGTGATTGAGCCTCGAAATTATGAACGCCAGAACATTTACCAGAGCAGGAATCCTTATTACCGATATGACCTTGAACCCTTCAGGGTATGTACTGAGGAACACTGATGTTTAATATATTGTTGTATCTCCTACCTTTGTGAGATAGGCTAACAACTTGCTTTCATTTCTTATCAGGTGCGGAGGAAGGATTTTTGGTTGCTCTCTACCGTAAATAAGGTTTTGAAGGAATTTATCCCCAGGCTCTCTCACGAGGCAGATGGTCTTATTTTTCAGGTGATTGATGATGATTGTTGGATTATGAATGTCAAACCTTTTGAACTTGTTTGTTTTACTCTTCTCCATTTGTTTTGTGAATGATCTGTAAGTTGTTATTAACCTCACCATATATTATCATTCAATTTTTATCTTTTTCAGTTTGCCACCGACATCCTTCCAATTCATGATTGCTTTTACTTTTAAGTTTGTTTTGCTTCCTACACATGCTCTGTTAGGAAGGATTGTCATGGTTTTGGGTGCATTGAGCTAAGTGGTTACTGATGGTTTTTTATGTCAGGGCTGGGACGATCCTTATGTACCTCGCACTCATGAAGGTCTTCTGAAGTGGAAATATGCTCAGTTGAACTCTGTTGACTTTTTATTTGAGGTTGTGTTTCTCATTTTGCTTTAAATTGGTTTTTGATGTTGAACTTTGGCTTAAAAATTTTGTAGACATTCACCCCAAACTGAAAGCTGTATGCATTGACAGATTGGTAGTGATGATCGGGAACAACTTTTTCTCTACGAACGGGGAAGAAAGAAGTTGATGGAAGGGAATACAGTTGAATTCAGAGGTTGCTATGAATGGTGTTTATTTTGTTTTTCTGCTTCATTTGAGAGTCATTACTGTTGATTCTGATTCTTTAATTTCCAAAATAACTTGCAGGTGTTTCAGATCCTCCTCCTTCATTCTCTGGGAAGATTATCGAGTGTTCTTGGGATCCTGATCAACATGTGTGGATCTATATGCGAATCAGGACGGATAAGTCAACTCCTAACGATTTCAATACTTTCAAGAAGGTCTGTCTTATTGCTAATTTGATAACTAGTTAACCCTTTGCCTTAGCTAACTGCAGTAAGTAAAAGCTGTTTGCTTATGCAAGAACAGGTTATGCGAAGTATAAAGGATAATATCACAGAGGAAATCTTATTAAACGAGATTAATAGATTATTCGCTTGCCCATGTATGCTGATAGAATAAAGATTGACAGCAAGGCCCACCTGCATACAAATTCAGCACGACGCAAGTGATGGATAGAATGCCTGGTTTGTTGTCCAGTCGATTGAGGTATTGGATGCTTGAGTGTGCCTTTCATTGCCTGTGTGTTAAAAGTGCTTTCAGGTTTCTTTTGGTAGGAGGTTAGGTGCATACTTGGGCTGTTGAGCACGCATCATGTAAAGGGTCACTGGTTTGTCATGTAATTAGCTATCCCCTTCCTAGTCAGTCTTGTAGTACTGCATGTGCTACGCTGGTGAGTTGTATGATCCAGGTGGTACACTTGAATAGTTCCGTGACATTCAGGTCTGAGACTATTTTTCTTATAGTTGTTCAGATCAAGAGGATTAGCACTAGGGTAACCATGTATATTAGTGTTAAATTTTTCTTCTTATTATTCTCCCTGATGTTAGTGATCTCTAAGTTCTTCTAAAAAAG